AAAAAAGTAAAAAAACGATCATTTGAAACACGTCCTCTCTGCTACAGGTTCTCAGCTTTTATATACTTCCAGAATCGTCTCAACAGCGAGAGAAGTCACTTTCGCCACCTAGCGGTGAAAGTATAGGAGCGACAGTAATCTTTAACATTACTAAGGAAACCATGTGGAATACCACGTAGGATTCCATGTGGTTTCCTACGTGGGGATTTACATGGGATTTTACTTAGGAATTTAAGTAGAAATAAATTCCCAAATGAATTCCTAAGTAAAATCCCATGTAAATCCCCACGTAGGAAACCACATGGAATCCTACGTGGTATTCCACATGGTTTCCTTAGTAATGTTAAAGATTACTGTCGCTCCTATACTTTCACCGCTAGGTGGCGAAAGTGACTTCTCTCGCTGTTGAGACGATTCTGGAAGTATATAAAAGCTGAGAACCTGTAGCAGAGAGGACGTGTTTCAAATGATCGTTTTTTTACTTTTTTGATGATTTGTAACACTAATACTATTTATTATTTAATTTTTTATTAAATAATTTTTAATCCTTTGAAAATTTCTTCATTGGATCTTTAATAAAATACTATGTGATATCTCATTAAATCCTAGGTGAAATCTTGCATGAAATGCTATGTCAATTCCCATATAAAATCCTATGTGAAATCCCTTGTAAAATCCCAAGTGGATTCCCATGTAGGGATATTCAATAAGGCGGATAATGTTTTTCACATGGGATTTGGTTTAGGATTTGACATGGGAAAATCATTATAAATAAATGATACTGTTTTTCACTTGGGGATTGACTTGGGAAAATAATTATAAATAAATGATACTGTTTTTCACATGGGATTCGGTTTAGGATTTGACTGGGAAAAACATGTGGGATTTGATATGGTTTTATGCATAGATGAACTGTTCAAATTCCCCATGTCTATTCCTAACTAAAATCCTGTCTCAATTTCCCATATGGTTTGACATGGGAAACCACATGGTAAACCACGTGGTTTCCTTCATGAAAGTAGGGTTTTACATGGTTTTTGACATAGGATCCCATGTGGTTTCCCATGTGGTTTCCCATATGGGGATTTTCAATAGGGGTAACCTTACACGTTAAGGTTGATGTAACCTTACACGTTATGGTTGAGGTATCCTTACACGTTAAGGTTGAGTTAAGGTTATATGTCAAGGTTGAGGTAAGGTAATTATTAAGTTGTAAGGTTGAGGTAAGGTTAAGGTAAGGTTGTGATAAGTTTACCAGTTATGGAAAATATTGACAAAATAATTAATAATATAATAAATAAATATTAAATTAGAAAGTTAAGTTTGTTGCTCTTCTCTATTTTGGAAACCTGGCAAGAAGCAGAAAATTTTGAAAACAAATTTGGGGGGACTGGGATTCGAACCCGGGATCGACGCGCATAAACCTAACATCCTAACTAACTGAGCTAAGTGGAGAACTGGTAGCAAGAAAATTAATTTTCCTTTAAGGAGTTAATCATATTCTTGGTTCACCTTAAAGGCAAAATTGATTTTCCTTCTGACAGTTCTGTACTTAGCTCAGTTAGTTAGAATGATTGGTTTATGCGCGTCGATCCCGGGTTCGAATCCCAGTCCCCCCAAATTTGTTTTCAAAATTTTCTGCTTCATGTCAGGTTTCCAAAATAGAGAAGAGTAGGTAACAAACTTAACTTTTTAATTTAATATTTATTTATTATATTATTAATTATTTTGTCAATATTTTCCATAACTGGTAAACTTATCACAACCTTACCTTAACCTTACAACTTATTAATTACCTTACCTTAACCTTGACATATAACCTTACCTCAACCTTAACATGTAACGTTACCTCAACCTTAACGTGTAAGATTACCTCAACCTTAACGTGTAAGGTTACATCAACCTTAACGTGTAAGGTTATCTCAACCTTAACGTGTAAGGTTACCATAGCCTTATCATATATACTTACCACACCCTAACATGTAACCTTACCTCCATGGCGGAAGTTTTTAGTTCACCTCAGGTCTACCACAGCAATATCGTGTAACCTTATGAGCCTTACGATTAGTACTCAACATAACCTTACCTCATACTATTGTGCTATGTGGGTATCTATCTCGATCATTCGAGTTATCCCTTTATTCTGAAATGAGTGTTTTTTTCCGTAATAGTCGACCCCCCTGCTTCAATAGTATTAATTAAAGCATCTCCGTTGTTTCTATCTTCTTCATCATCATACTCTGTCTCATGACTGTTGTTCAAGAGTCGAACAGCATGTTCATAACACTGGTCAACTGGATCGGCCTCCTGTAGTCTTCTGATTATTTCCGCCTTTGTTCCATAAGTCGCTACCCCTAACTTTCTTGCTACCTCTTTAAGGATTGACACCTTCAAAGTGGTGGGGTCCAACACTGCCCCTCCATCCATTTTTGGGGCTTACTTCAAGTCTTGGGACGTTGACAATTTTGATAGAAGGGTAAACTGATCTTGCGCACTGTGAGGTACTTAGAACAATTTCTCTTGATCTTCACGATTTTAGCACCACGGTGTGTTCACTTTTGGGAATTAATTCAGCGTCACCAAAAATCCTCCATATGCAAATTTTCTATTTGAATTGGTTACTTTATCTTTTTTTTCACTTATAGGGAATCGATGGGAAAACAAATCACAGAAAAATTCACTAACACTCACTCCAGAATTCCACAGGGAGTTATCTTTAGTTTTATCAATTAAACATAAAGAATCAATTAAAATTTCAGACACGAGGCACGTGTTAAAATCTAAGTGAGGAAAATGTGAGGAAAATCGGAAATTTCACAGAAGTTCAGTCTTAAGTTTACAATATATTTGTCGAGTCCCGTTTACTTTACTTTCGGCGAAAGGATTGATATTTAGCTGAAGTCCTTTAACCCTTTAAGTCCCATAATTAGGACAATTGAAAAATATCTACAATAGGTATAGTACCTATGGTTTTTGGGATCGCTGATTACGAATCTGGAATCAGATTTTCAAAATTTTGAAAATTCATAATGGCGGAGTCAATATGGCGGACTATAAAATTAAAAATTATTTGATTTTACTTGAAAGTTGTCACTCGGGGGTTTTATGGGGTCGCTGATTACAAATCTGGAGTCAGTTTTTCAAAAATCAAAATTGCAGATCCAATATGGCCGACAAAATTTAAAAATAACACAAATTTACTTGAAAATTGTCACTCGGTAGTTTTTGGGGTCGCTGATTACAAATCTGGAGTCAGTTTTTCAAAATTCAAAATGGCGGATTCAATATGGCGGACTATAAAATTAAAAATTATTTGATTTTACTTGAAAGTTGTCACTCGGGGGTTTTTGGGATCACTGATTACGAATCTGAAGTTAGTTTTTCTAACTTTAAAAAAAGGAGGGTGTTTCCAAATTCGTATCTTTTTATGTCCGCCATATGGATTTATGGATCCACTATTTTGACATTTTAAAAAAACTGACTTTAGATTCGTAATCAGCGACCCCATAAACCCCCGAGAGACAATTTTCAAGCAAATTTTGTTTAATTTTTAATTTTTGTCCGTAATATTGGATACATAATTTTGAATTTGCATATCTAATTTTAGATTAATATTCAGCAAACCCCGAGAATTTAGAAAACAAACATAATTTAAAGTATATGTTACTGATTTAATTTGATTACAGTCAATTTTAACCTGAAATAATGCGTTTCCGTGTATAAGTTTGTTAATAACAAAAAAACATAAATAATATAGATTAATTTGTTAAAAAAAACTACTAAACCCTATTTGTAGAAGCATAAAAATAAGAAGTATGCAATTATTTTAAGTTTTCCTTTAAGTTATGTTAATAAAATCGGTGGCTTAAAAGGTGGTCGATATATCGACCACTGGGACTGAAAGGGTTAAGCACAAAACCGAAAATAACTAAAGCTTGAAGCATATCACACACTGACTGAATTGAGAAAAGGTGCACTTTTCGTCATCTTTTGAAGTATTTAAGTACAAGGACGACAAAAATTAATAACGAAATTTGTATATACAGTCATGTCTCGTTTTTGCAATATGTATTCGGAATTCGTAGACTCTCAATATTGCAAGCGCTTGTATGGCGGCACCCTCTCATCATTGCAAGATGACGTCAGCTCACGTGATCAACTGTCAGTGCCGACAATTGGGGAGCAATAAAAGTTCCAAATGAGAGACTGCAAATTTTTTTTTTAGTTTTATAGTTTAAATAATTTGACTAAAGACATCATTTCTCATTTGGAAAACTTACATTTGAATAAAACGTGAAAATAATTTAATTTCTTAATGTCGACTGTATTTTATTAGAAATGGGACGAAAATTGAAACAGGCAAAACCTGTAATAGAAACAATTTCTATTACATTGGAAATTTAGACACTGTTTAACAATTTTTAACAATTATTTATTACCATTTGAAAAAAGGCCTTAAAATTTATTTAAATAAAGTAATAATATTAATTCAAGTTGAACTATTCAACATAACTTTTGGACATAAATAATCTTAGAGTAAAGTTACCAATGATTAATTCTTTTATGTTTAGAAAAAGGCCCTAAAATGTATTTAAATTAAGTCAAAATAATTTAACAGTTCATTACAGACTGTTGATTTTTATTTTAAATTACTATCATAATTTGATATCTCATTTATTATTGTGATTTTCCCCAAAAAATGGGGGGTCGGATTCGTACCACTTATTTTAAGAAAGTTGAAAACGTAAATTTTTGCTTCTTGCTTCGTATAGATTGGACATTTAAAGCTTGCAGCAAATTTACTCGGTAAACTCGTTGCAAGATTGTTACGAAATTACTTGCATTCTGTGTAGAGATCAAAAGTTTGTTTAATGCTGTTGTACAATAGCAACAAATTTTCAAATATCCACTGTTTTGACAATCTTTATATATATTTAAAATTGGTACCTTTATCTTGAGAAATTTTGCCCCATTATATACAAACTAAATTTAAATTATAGACAGTGTGTGGAAGTTTGGGGACACTATTAAAAGTTCGCTCAAAATCACAACCAGGCACACCTGAGCACAAAACTCGTAAATCCAACAAAGAAACAAGCAATTCAGAGGAAAGGGAAGGAGACGATGAAAAGAATCACAAAACTAAAACAACGGCTCAAAATCCTGAAGATGATCCAACTTTAGGGGAGGGTGGAAGAATAAGTTCAATGTCACAGAAAAAAATTGATATCAATCAGAAAATTGGATCACACATTGATAAATTAGATTCCCTCATCAATAAAGCGGAAAATGCCCAATTTTGTATGCAACATCAGACGAAACAAATGAAAAAAATTCTGAAATAAATAGCAGTTTCATTGACAAGTAAGAATGCGAATACAATTTTTTTTACATTTCTACACTGAGAGACATTTGGAACTGTAGCGGAACAACGTATGTGACTATGATTCTGGTGCGCTGTGATACAATTTTGGGAGCGTGACTGTCCAAAATGTTGGTAAGCAGCTCACCGAAGTAGTGGGGATGCCGCCTTTGGTTTGCAGCTAAACAACTTTTGGACTGTCACGCACCCAAAATTGTACCGCAGCAACCCAAAAGTAAAGTTCTGTAGCCTTCCACCAAAATGGTCAGTGTATACTATTTGTTCTTCTAAAATTATTTTACTTAATTAGCAGAAGAAAATCGATGCCACATTATCTGCATTAATTCAATAATTTTTTTTTTATTTTCATGAAATTTGGAAAATTCAATTTAACAAATTTTTTTTTGCTTAACAAGCAAAAACAGTTTTATTTCAAACAACTATACAAATTAGCGAAATTTTTATAAGTGTATCAGTTAAGACTTTCGCTATTCTAGAGAAACTTATCGCTGATTCAGGTAAAATATTGTTACAGTGAAATATTTTCAACCTTTCGCTTCAACCTTTTATAAAAAATTAAAAATACTGTAGTTAACCAGATGCAAAAATTTAAAAAACAGTATTATAACAGAAGATTATTAAGATTTCTCTTACTGTTTGCTATATTGAATGACAATTATGACAAGTTTCCTAAATCGTTTCGCGTGATTATTTAAATTCGCTATATAATATGTGTGTAATGTTATAAAAATAGATATTGTTGCATAAGAATATTTTTTGCGTACGCTGAATGAATATTTTCGTATATATACACAAGTTAACAAGAAAGGAAAATCACAATCCTTTCCTATATGTAAAATATAATACACTGTAAAAAAATTTATTTGATTTAAATAATCGACTACTTGTCTACTATGAAATAATTATATTTATTTTACTTTCCAAATATTTACTATAATCAAATAATTTTTATTGAAATCAAATAAATTGTATTTGAACAGAAATAATTTCAGTATTTGAAGCAAACATGAATTGAACTATTTAATTGACTGAAATAAAAATGATTTACTACAAGAAATAATTTATTTGATAACAGACAAAAAATCGTTTATTTGAATCAAATAAAATTTTTTTCAAATATGGTGATATTAAATAATTAAAAAAATCTATAAAATAGGGGAGACCAGGTGCTGTTGTTACTCTGTGCAGTTGTTACAAATGGAATATCTCAAAAACAGTAAATTATAGAGACGGGGCTCCAAAGGGAAAAATGTTTAGTTTTTTTGTATGAACTTGTTGCAATATGTTTAAAAATTATATGCAAGTTTTACAATTAAAAAATTAGGTACATTGGTTTTTGGAGACTAAAAGTAAATTTTTCTCTGCTTGATATTTTTTAAATAATTAATAGACCTTTATACTTAACAAAGTAGGTAAATTTTTTAATATCAATTTCTATGAGGATTAAGCTTTAACAAACTGCCTTGGTTGTCCACATTTAATGTATACTCTTTTAAAATAAAGTGATTATTTGTAAAAAATGTACCTGTTGATGACAACGGATATTTTTTCCAAAATTCAGCAGATTCGTTTGAAATGTAAAATATTTGTCAAAAATGTAATCACACTCATTATTTATGAAAACTCTCATGTTTCTTCTAAATTCGACTTCAAAATTAATAAAAAAAAACTTTTTAAAATTTTTTTCATTTCGAAACTGTGACGTATGTGTGTGATACGCTCCTCTCTCTATAGAGGCAGCACTGAATGCGCGGTTTGATTCAAATAATAATTTAACATAAAACATTTAAATTATTGGGTTTTCCTTAACTAAAATATATTGGCAAGCAACATGGGTAAATCGACAAAAAATTACTTTCCCACAGTAAAACTTTAAGTGGAAAAAATCATAAACTCTGATACAATGGAGCATATGCAGTGACGAAACTTAATCCTTCCCAATAAATATTTTTGGGATTATTTTTGGGAATATTTTTGGGTATAACACCAAAAATAAATACACGTTTTATTTAATTGTCACGTTTTAGAAATTCACTTTTATGGTTATATTGCTTCTTAAAGAAATTCGAGTAAATCGCTCATCTGGTTACCATAAAATTTCAAGACCCTTTTTGCCTGAGTAATAAAAAGGGGATGCTTTTGTTTCGTCATCCCTGCTGCATGGACTAGTTAGAAAAAATCTGAAACACCTTCTTTTTCCGCCTTTTTGGGTTTTTCCTCTTTTTAACGAATTAGAGTAAAGGAGGCGTACTTTCGCCTTCCTTCCTGGCACTCGGGGATGGGGGCGGAGGCCCCCAGGATGGGACCGTAGGGTCTCGGAGGAAAACGAGAAGTCAGATACTGTTCGACTTCGGAATTGGAAGAACGTTAACTTTGAGATAATAATAATAAAGATAAATTTATAAGAACTTAGAAGTTTCATTTTAAACAAATCATCCTTAATTTTAACTTGCATTTTCATTTGATAAAACAGTAGATCAAATATTTCACCGCGGGAGTTGAGCTTCCTAGCTCTTTGTTGTGGAAAACGAACATTCATCGTCGAGGATTCCGCTTAGAATTTAATTCTAAAAATTAACTCTAAAGTATATTAAATTCACAATTGAAATTTGAATTTTGAGAGTTTTACCGCGCGAATCAGACTCGGCGCGTCACAGAAACAATATTAGTGCTGCCATCTCTATGGAACTGTCACGTACTGTATTACGTTGAGCCAAAAATTATGATTAAATAATAAAAATTGATATAAAAAATTATTTGTATTTAATTTAGAAATGTTATAGATGATTCTTGGTATTGCAACAACCGACATTCACTTTGTGCAGTTGTTACAATTTACACGCTGTCACTCAAATGCTTCTAGTTGATTAAATAATAGCCCTACTAAAAATAAAATCAGGAATGGTCAGACAAATGGTCAGGCCGCCTGACCACTTTAATCCAGTTTTCTTACGATTCTGAATGGATCTCGTCAGAAATCTATCACAACTGATCAGGAGGAAGTTTAAAGTGGTCACAAGTTTGCTACTATCCCCTCCTCTTTGTTGACCCCGCCCATAATTGGTGACTATTTGAGACCATTTGTATCTCATTTTTGACCATATTTTTAAGCCACTTCTGTTTTATTTATTTAAACAATATCCAAAAAGTTGCAACAAATTAATTTTAAAAAATATATTTTATTAATTAATATCAGTTTGTTTACATACGGAACAATAATAAATTAAGTCTTAACTTTACAATTTGGAATGTTTCATAAACTATAATACGAATACAGATTAATAATAATTATTATTATATCTGCATTTAAAATGAATTTAGTATTTAATATTAATTTAATTTAACATTATAATTTATAATAATAATGAATTATTAATGCAATATTGAAATTTTTATATATTTTAAATTTAAATTATTAATAATCATTATAGTAAGAAATTATTCTATTAATGATTAATAATAATTTAAATATAACTGTATGTATTTCAATTATAATGCAAATACTTCTCATAATAAGTACTGACTGGTATAGTAAATTACTAATATTATGAAACAAAATTTATTATTAATTAACTATATTAAATAATTACAAGTAAATATACATATATTAAATTAATATATTATAAATATACATTAAATAAATATATTAAATAATGTTAAAAGAATGGTCCGAATGTTTTGATTTATTTACCTACTTTTGCTGTATAATTAATTCAATAATTATACCAATTTGAAAAATGAGAGCTTTTGTTAAGTTAAAAGAACAATTTTTATAATAGAATAATGTATTCTGAAATGTAAAAAATAAATTTGAAAGATTTTATATGTATATATAAATTTTCATGAGACTTTACCAAAATTAGAAAGATGTACCAAAATTTTTATAGGTTATGTGTTAACACATTTCAGAAATAGTCAAGAATTTCAGAAATGGTCAGGAATTTCAGAAATGGTCACAGCTTCGAAAATGGTGGGAGTAAAGTGGGAGGAGCTTGGAAAGTATTTGGTTAGGAATGGTGAGAAACGTTCGAAAACGTCAGAAGTGGTGAGACTGTTCAGGAATGTTCAGAAATTCTGACCATTCATGACGATTCCTGATTTTATTTTTAGTAGGGAGATATAGAGCAGCTAAATCAATTATGGCCTTTTAAAACTAGATAATATACCTTTGATTTAATTGTATGACCAAACAAATTGGAGTTAAGCTCTAATCACTGTAACTGATTTTATCAAAATTGTAACAACTGCACCTATTCTCCCCTACGCCAAGACAATTTGAATGCAATCCAAGAACAATAATTACAAAGTGATCAATGATGTAACCCTTAACAAAGTTCGTTAAAAAAATGTCTGTAGTTATTTATTCAAATTCGAAAAATTAGTTTTAGCTACTAAATATCAATGACTAATAAATTTAATTTTAGAATAACGATTCTTAAATATTATTAGAGAAGAAAACAAATGTTGTTGAACTTTTTCCAAATAATTGAACAATTATTCTTGCTACCAATACTTTTTTGCATATCGTTAAAAAAATAAAATAACTAATTGTATTTTATTATCAACAAAAGATAAAGTTGATAAACATAATATAATAATTAAAGCATTAATATACCCACAATTGTATAAGATTACAATTTAACGATTATAATAAATAACATTTGTGATCATTATATATATAGATACACATATAAATAAAATTGAATAATTCCTCATTTTTTGAGAAATTAATTAATTCGCACTACAAGATCTTGAGAAGTAAAAACCTAGAAACTAAAGACTCTTGGTGCTAATTATTTAATTAATATTTAAAATCTCACACAATGAAAAAAAATGTTTAAAAATTAGTTTAGAAAAACATAAATAATAGCTTTCAAGAAAAATAAAGTTCTCCAAACATATCTATATACTATATAAATACACCAAATAAAAATTTTACCAATGGGAAAAAAGGCATATATAAGATAATATAATTAGATTAATTAATAATATGCGCAATTACAAGAAATTATAAAATTTTCAATTTCCATGATTCCGAATTTCACCAAAAACTGTCTAATATAAATTATGTTCTACTAACTCAATTAATAATTATTGTAATTATTAAAAGATACTGAGTTAAAAATTGTTTAGACCACAAAAATTTGGATTCATGCCACTATGTATGCTGTACGTACAGAAAATTCTAGCACGTTTGTTTTATTAATATATCAACACAAGAAAGTCAATATAATTACGAATAAATAAGTCAATAACATTCAGTAGAAATTAGTTATATATAAAATTATTTTATTAATCCTTAATAAAGTCCTTTCGTACTATATAAGTACTATATAAGCCTCCGCGCGCGAGCATAAACGGATTAAGGCCAACGCACAACTACTTCGCGAACGTCGTTCGCGAATGTAAGGGTGGAGTCCCATGACAGCGTTTTGCGTTGCGTCGTAATGGGAGAAAAAAAGACGCAAATATACGTTTGCTGCATTCTCTCTCATTACAACGCAACGCAAAACGCTGCCATGGGACTGCGGCCTAAAGCATGAGTTAGAAAAGGACACAAATATATCTCTGTCCTTTTCTAACCCATGCATTGCGTTCGCGAACGACATTCGCGAAGTAGTTGTGCTTAGGCCTTTAAGGATGGGTAAGTCTCTTGACTTTAATAAAATTAATATAATATAAATAATATTTTTTATAATAATGAAAAATATAATTTAAAGAAGCGCCTTGTA